AAGTAGGCACGAATCTTTAGAAGAGAACATTATTTGGATTAAATTGTTAAACTCACATAAATTAAAAGGTCGACAGCTCAGCTTACATGTCAGATTATATTCAATGATGTGGGGTAGTTTTATGGGTCAGAGCATGAAGAATGTGGCGCTCAGGTCTATGCCAGAGTCTCTCACAAGTCCCAAGTTTATTATTTTATGCACACATTCATCCTAGACTTATCCGGCAAGCTTGCTTGACTACCACTCCCATCATCCAGATTTTTAATGGGAGAATTATAATCAAATCTCGTAAAAAAAATAATTACTAAAAGATTCTAATAACAATCTCAACCGTTTATAATAACAAATTCTATAATAAGAATAACAATATTTAAGATTTATTTTTTAATTGTTTTTTTTTGAGACTTTATTGTAATTCTTTTTTTAAAATTTCTCTAGCCTAGAATAACCAAAAAAAAAATTCCTCTGGCCTGGAATAACAAAAAAAAATTCCTCTCGCCTAGACCCACGGGTTGGGTTCCTAATTGGAATGTGCCCCACGTAATTTTCAACTAATGGGTAATGAGTTAACTATTTCTTTTTCCTTTTTTTATATATTTCTTTATGAAACATCTCTTAAAAATTAATCTGGAATACATTATATGAACTTTTCTCCTCATTTAACTTCCTTAGCTCATAAAATAATTTTCCAAAAATTTTCAGATAAAAAATTAACCTTTAACTATTTTTCTTGAATTGCTGAAGAAAATAACTCTTTAATTTAGGAAATTAACTTTTAAATTATTTCTACCCTCTTTGAAAAATAAAATCTTCCATAAACTCTTTTATTTTTCAAATGATAATCTATAACTTTTCTTTGATTCTTATAGGCCTTTATCAATAATTATTTCTTTTTTTAATTTTTTTTCTTGAAAATAGGGTTTTATTTTATACTTATTTTTCAGAGGCCTTGACAAATTATTTTAGCTTCTTAGACATCTTATAAATTTCTAGCTTCAAAATTTGAGATATTATAATTTGAGTGACAACTAAGGGCCTTTTTTTTTTTTCTTTCTTTGTTGTCTTGTTTTTAAAACAATTTTATAAAATTGTTTCCTAAAACAAGTTTTAAAAACAAAAAAAAATTATTTGAAAAACAACCTTTAAAAAATCACATTAAAAAAAAATCATACTTGGGATGTGGTAGTCAGCAGTGATATGTAACAGGGTAATAGGTGAGAAGAAAAAAATTCTCAATTTTTCAAAATAAAAAATAAAAACAACAAAAGCAAAAATAAAAAAAGTGCAAAAATTATTTTAATTGTTAAAACAGTCAACTAAAAATTACATGATGAAACAAATTCTTTTATTCTTATATTTTTAAAAATAAAAAATTGTTTTCAAAACAAAAACTAAACGATTCCTAATTTTCTTCCATGGAGGAAGTTTTTACTCTATTCGACACCAACAACTCAAAATCCCTCGACTTCTCGCTTTCTCAATCTCATAGGTCATGGCCAAGCACATAAAGTCTGAGCTCTTTGATCGGCCACTTTGCACCGCTTTCAAGGTGCTTGACAAGGAGTCCATCGACTTCTTCGTCTCCGAACTTCGGCATATAGTGAAAAGCTAGAGTAAGATCCGTCCAAAACTCAGATCCGGCACGAATGTGAGAAGAAGACAATCTGGACGTTAGGTGACTTCTAGCTTCCCGTCGCTGCACCGCCTTCTCGCATTCCCAAATCGCGAAGAGTCGAAGAGGCACCACTTTATTTTTTTTAAAAAAAAAAGGCTTGGTCACCAGAATAAAAATGGCAACTCGTATTGTTAAGCCGTGTCAGCACATACAGTTAATTAACATAAGGAGTTAGAGCTTAATGGCCTTAAGCTACAGGGACCCATGCTTGAAAAAATAAACTCTAGGGACCTTGACCAGTTTGATTGAAGCTGTAAGGACCTAAAACATAATTTCCTCTTTTGTTTATCAAATTCTTATAATTTCATCTAACTTTTAATCAAATTTTTGTTTTTTCTTATTACATGCTTTTCCCTTTTTATCAGCCACCAGAAGCTAGAAATCTCACTGTAAATCGGCGATATAATGACCTGATAATAAAGAAAAAATTGTAGAGAATTTATTAAAAATAAGGTCATTAAAATTATAACGACTAATTGATTAATTTTTCCCAAAAAAGGACTCGCAAGTTTCTTGACTTCTTCGACTATACATATAAACGTCTCTCCTTGAAAGCTCGGACACCAGCATATTTCCTAGCCAAATCAGATCAAATGTCGCTAATATCAATTTTTTTCCTCCTCATACCCCATGCCTTTTCCTTAAGCTGCAGCCTTACCAGTTTCCAGCCCAATGATTATAACAAGATATCGTGTGAATTTTGAGCTTATATATAGTGCAGAATCATGTGGGACAGTTACGTTCGGATTCTATATTCCTTTTCTCATGTTTTAAGAAACCGAAATTATGCTATATTATTGTTCATTTATGCTCATTCAACGTGGGAGCTGCTTAAGTGAAGTAATTGCAAATGGGATATGATGCCGTAGTATATTTTTCTAATAAGTTAAAGGAAATTAATAATAAACGAAGAAGACAAATGCACATGGATCTCTGAAAACATGGTTCAAAGTTATAAATATATTTAAAAATCATGTCAATTGTCAATGGCCTTGCAATATGAAGTCCTTCCTCAAAAACTTAATCATTATCATAGGAGACTTGGTTGCCCCAAAAATACGTTAGAAACTTCCTTCCTATTTTCTTCAGTTTTCTCAAATTTTCGGTCATTTGTCCATAATTGTAGTTTTATTTGATAATTACTTGTATTTATGATTTTCTGCCAACTTCTCATATTTTCCATTTTTGGTCCAACTATCTTTGACTTTTCCTCTTATTTTGCCTTATTTTGAATCTACACTTATTATTTTACTTTTAATTTAGAAGGGAATCCATGTCATATTCTCTTATTGAATTGCCATATAAAAGGGGAAATCATAATTGAATTCTGTTGAACTACCGAAATCAAAATTCATCACAAATTCCTAATAATCAAGTCAAGAGGTTTAATTGGAAATTTTTCAATGTTGTTAAAAAAAAAAAGAACTAAAATGTTTCTCTATATAGTTAAAAATGACATTAAAATTTAAAATGAACAACAAATAACAAATAGAAGCACTATTTTAAGCTTTCATGGGTTGTCAAATCCATATTCTAAAATTAAAAAAAAAAAAAAGTAACGGCATTTATTTCAGGACCAACATAACCAAAATCAACAAGTTTTTTCTGGTTTTAAGCTATATACTTCAGATAACATTAATAATTTTTGTTCTTTAAAAATAGGGGTTTATTATGTTGTATCTTTTTACTATTATTGCTATTTATTCAAAAAAAAAAAAAACCAAAACCCACAAGTATCTGACCCTTAAATAAACCCCAAAAGAAGCTTATACATGAGAACGTTTTGTTTTTCGTCTATGTAACTAAATCGGTGCTCGATGATCTCTTGCTAATGACAGCATCTATTAACTGGAACAACGAACACTGGCAAAAGAACCCAATTGTTGATATTTTCATTTTCAATCTGTAATTGTCCTAATTTTTTTAAAAAACATATTCCACTCAGAACCTGCAAATAAATTACAGAGGGACGTACAAATAGTCCTTCTATTTATTATTTAATTTAAATGTAAATTTCCATTTTAACTATAAATGGGCCTTCAGACTTTTTAACAACACTTGGAAATTTTTAATGAGACTTAAAAGTGTAGAGTTGAATTTAAATTTTAATATTTTAAACAGATTTAATTAGAATTTTTTCATGTAAAATACCTAATGTGAAAAGAAAATTGCTTGAGAAACATGGAAGTCTTCGAATTAAATGAGGAAAGCAACTGCTTGATTGAAAAGAATATTGGAAAACAAACTAATTCTTCTAACTGGAAAAAGCTTGGAATGTGACTTCTGCTGAGATCAGAGTTGAAAAACAAATAACAAGAAAATTAAAACTTGATATTAATAATTTATAGATCTCGCGTGATGTCAGGAAATTAAACTTAGATGACGGTTTGATTATAATTTTTTTATCCCATTTCCTTCCTAAATATAATTTTCCAACGTTGATTTTCCCAACTACTCAGCATTGAAGTAGTCAAAAACATGGTCAGATCTCCATAGATTAATTGGGTCATTAACCTATTTCATTACAATCCTTATTTTCATTTAATTAGGCAAAGACCCTAATTATTCTCTTATCCAAATGCAAATGGAAGGAAATTTGTCCAAGGGGGGCCAATTACCCAGACAGATTCATAGCATTAGCTTGTGGACTCCGTTGCTTCTTTTTGTTTTTTATTTCATTTGTCTTTTTTTTGGGGGGGGGTACAAAGACTCGGTTGCTTAAATATTGACTTAAGGAGAAATTTAAGACGTTTATAGTTTTAAAGCATGAGAAAATGATGAACCGTGGTGCATATTAAAGAAAAAGGAAAAATTTATTTGTAAATCTTCGTAGTTTTAATTATTTTTAATCAGATTTTTGTAGGGTTTTTTTAATTATGTCCTTATAATTTTACTTGATTTTAATCAGGTCTTCATAGTTTTCTTTATCAAATTCTTGTAGTTTCATCATCTAACTTTGGATCAAATTTTTGTGCTTATCAGCAACTAGAAGCTAGAAACCTCACTGTAAATCAGGGATATAATGACCCAGTAATAAAGAAAAAAATTATAGAGACTTTACTAAAAATAAGATAATTAAAATTATTACCACTAGCCGATTTTTTTTTTTCCCAGAAAGCTTAGACACAGCATTCTTCGACTGTATATATAAACGCCTCTCCTTGAAAGCTCAGACCAGCATTCTTCCTTGCCAAATCAGATCAGATGTTGCGAATATCAATTTTCTTCACTTCTTCGACTCTATCTATAAACTTCTCTCCATTAAGTTCAAACACAACGTATTCCCTAGCAAAATACAATTGTAAGTTTTGAATTCTGGTGAATATCAGATGTTGCTACTATACACTTTCTTCCTCTTCCTCTTGATGGCCCATGCGTTTTCCTTAAACTTCATCTTCCCCAGTTTCAATCGCGATCATTATAACAATATATCGTTTGAATTAGCAGCTGACATTTCAGAACCACACCTCTACTTAACAGCAAACCAGGGGGGTCAATCCTCGCAAAATAGTCAAGGTCGAGCCACATATAAGCAGGAGATGCGCCTGTGGGACAAAGACACTGGGAAACTCGCAAATTTCAACACCAGTTTCACCTTTGTGATTGATTCACGGGGAAGTAGTCGGTATGGAGATGGGCTGACCTTCTTCTTAAGCCCTACTGGTTCAAAGCTTCCTGATCGTAACGACGTTGGAGGAGGTTCTATGGGTCTAATTATTGGAGGCAACGAAACGATACTTAATTCAACAGATCATCCTTTTGTTGCTGTGGAGTTTGATATCTATCCCAATGTCGAATATTACGATGGGTGGGATCCTCCGTATGTACATGTGGGTGTGGATATCAATTCTGTGAAATCTACTCGTACTGTTCCATGGTATCCCGATGTCACAGGAGGCGGACAAAATGAGGCTTTCATCAGCTACGATGCAAGTAAACATAATTTAAGTATCTCCTTCACAAATACTTCTGGTCCTTCTGCCAACACTGTGTGGCAGCATCTTCATCAAATAGTTGACCTAACAAGGTACCTGCCTGAACGGGTTACGTTTGGTTTCTCAGCTGCCACGGGATATAATTTTGCAACACACAGGATCGACAAATGGAGTTTCTACTCAGATGAGTTCCCGAAAGATGCTCCCAGTCCAAACCCAAGCCCAAGCCCAAGACCAAGTCCGAACCCAAGCCCAAGACCAGGTCCCAACCCAAGCCCAAGACCAGGTCCCAACCCAAAAAGAAATGCCATAGCACTTGCAATAGGATTAGGGGTTGGAGGGACGTTGGTTTTAGTTTGTGGGGTGCTGTTGTTTGCACTGTGGAAGAATAAAAAGAATATGGAAGATGATGAGTCTAGTGAGAAAATGAGTGATGATTTTGAAAGAGGAACTGGGCCTAAAAAGTACTCATATGCTGAACTAGCGAGTGCTACAAGTTATTTCAAAGATGAGCAAAAGCTTGGACAGGGAGGATTTGGGGGTGTTTATAGAGGTTTTCTCAAAGATTCAAACTCCTATGTGGCCATAAAGAGAATATCAAGGGATTCTAAACAAGGGAAGAAGGAGTTTGCTTCAGAAGTAAGAATTATCAGCCAACTAAGACATCGAAACTTGGTTCAACTAAGCGGTTGGTGTCATGAAAGAAAAGAATTATTGCTAGTTTATGAGTACATGACACATGGAAGTTTAGATTATCATCTCTTCAAGGACCAAAGCTTGTTGCCATGGTCAATTAGATTTAAAATAGCTCAAGGCTTGGCCTCTGCATTATTGTACCTGCATGAAGAATGGGAACAATGTGTTGTTCATAGAGACATAAAATCAAGCAACATCATGCTAGATTCCAACTTCAATGCAAAACTTGGAGATTTTGGATTAGCTCGGCTTGTAGACCACACAAAAGGAGCACAAACAACAGCTTTGGCAGGAACTATGGGCTATATGGCACCTGAATGTGTCACCACTGGAAGGGCTAGCAAAGAATCTGATGTCTTTAGTTTTGGAGTTGTTGTTCTAGAGATACTTTCGGGAAGAAAACCCATCAACCCCAAGGCTCCAGAAGATGAAATAAACATAGTGCAATCGGTATGGGATCTCTATGGAAGTGGTAGAATCCTGGAAGCAGTTGATCCAAGGCTGCAAGGAGATTTTAACCATGATCAAGTCGAATGCCTCATGCTTGTTGGGTTATGGTGCGCTCATCCTGATCAAAATCGCAGGCCTTCAATAAGGCAAGCAATTCATGTGTTAAACTTTGAAGCTACAATTCCTAGTCTTCCTTCAAGTTATCCTATACCAACGTATGATGAATTTCCGGTGCCCTTATCATTTTCAATTCTATCCAATGCCAATGCTTCAGAGGTAAGTCCAAACAAGAACATTAGCTTTAGTTCCAACACAAACTCTTCTGGTTACGCTACAACTTTCTGATGATAATGTTTCACCAAGTGTATCACTTTTTTACTCTCGCAAAAGTTAATTACGGTTATTGCATGTTCTCGTAACATTTAAGTTTGTGTAATCTGAAAAAAATAAAACAGGTATTGAAAACTTACATGTTGTTGGATTTTCACCTTGAGATTATATATATACTGTTGCTTTTTGTGTAATGATGTTTCCTTTTCTCACTTTGCAAGAAACCAAAATTATGTTATTGCTCATTTCTGCTCATCCCAGTTTGAAGCTGCTTAACCGAAGTCATTGCAAATGGTATATGATGTGGTAGTATTTTTAATAAGTTAAAGAAAATAAACACTTCCACTGATCTTTACTACAAACATCTAATAAAAACTTTACATAAATTAATAAAATTAGTTCAAGTTAGTTATTTCTTGTAAAATATTAAAATTACTCTCAGTAGAAGTCATTAGTTAAAGCATAGTTAATTAGTTAGAAAGTTTTATAATTAGTTAGGAATAGTGGGTGTCAAATATTAATGCTTTAAACAAAAAAAGGTATATTCTAAAACATTATACTCTGGTGGATTTTATGATGACGAACTGTGGAATAATAGAAGAAGAGGACAGGTGAGGCGGCACGGAGTTGCATAACGCATATGGATCATTAAAAACGTCATTGATTAGGTTCATAGTTACAAAATTTAATCAAAGTCAAGTCAATTCCCTTCCACTACGAAGCCCTTCCTCAAACACGTTCTGACTTTACTAGACATTATCATAGAAGACTCGGTTGTCCTAATCGGATGAGACTTGATCACTATTGCAGGAAATCAAGGGGGGGAAAAAAAGAAATAAATAAATTATGCTGACCAAGAAAAGCTAAGTCAATGTAATCAATTAATTACGAAATTTAATTTGCAATATTATTTTCAAGTCACATCTAAATCACGACCACTGGATTTCACCAGCCAATAAATTCCTACTTGCATAGCAACCCTCCTGCAAAACCAACCGAGTCTGACGACACTCTGCATTTATGGAATCGTTTCGATAGCTTTAGATGAATAGCAACAAGTTATTTGGTGTTATCTGCTATGAGCGCACTTCAATAGTCGGTTTCCACTTATTGGAAGAACCGAGTTGACTTCTCTGTCCTTGACTTCACAGAGTCAAATAGGATAATTGAGGGGGCAAAATAGCTAATTGCACGTGCGCAAGTTTCTTAGCTTCCCCTTATAGATTGGGGGTTCAGAATCTAGGACCCAACCTGTATTTGGCTTGACCTAGTCTAATCTGCTTAAAATTAAAAGCAAGCTCAAGTCTGTTTAGCTTAACATGTTAGGCGTAAGCTCTTTGAAAAGCCAATTAAGCCTATGAGGCTAGGATAGGCCTGTTATAAATTTATAATTATAATAATATGAGAAAATTAGTTGATACTATTATCTTTAATATTCTCTTTTAATTTATTTTTTATACATAATTAATGTTTTATTGGATTTTGAAATTTAGTTTAACGATATAATTTAAAACAGTAATATCAATAAATAATATGATCTTTAAATCGTAAAAACATAGATCAACGAAAAATTTATTCTGCAAGGATAGTTAAAAACAAAGGGAAGAATTTTGTTTGGAATTCTTTGATAGAAATTTGGAACGAAAGGAACAATCAGCATGCGTTGCACAGTTCCCCCCCCCCCCTCTTTTGATAAAATCAAACTACGCATTGACGGACAAAAGTGAAGGACAAAAACTTAGAGAGCATGTCCCTTACATCAAGTAAGAGGCGTAAAAGAGTACAGGGGATGACGCTCTAGCTTAGCAAAATTCAAATATGCGAAGATTTAGTTAAGTTACAAATCAAAGGAAATGGCGTAAGGTGTGGGACAACGTTCTGATTGAATAAGAAAGTAAGTGCAGATCGTAAAGCCAACAGTTGAAGTTGCAAAGGTCGAAGCCTCATTGGAGGAGAAATCCACCAATCATGCAGAATGTCAACAATGAGACAAGCTTACACAAGAATCTGACGACGACCTCGAGTGGGTTTGGTAATATGTAAATTAAGAAGCCAAAAACTGTAAGATAGACAACGGAGATCAGACCACTGAAGGGGTTGAACATTTCTTGTTTGTTGGCACATATTGTAGGGCAAGAATGTTGAGGATAGAGAACAGAAGCTTGTGCTTTAGATAGTGCCGTAGAAATTACATGTTCAGGAGAATATCTTTTCCCTGCATATAAACCATAATATATCCAAAATATGAAAGGGCAATCTAAAGGGGGGAGAAGCTACCTCCATGTTCTAAGTCATCCAAAACCACAATTATTGAGGTAAATCAGAGTGAACTAGGGAAACAATTTGAAAACCTAAAGCACTACCAAACTAACAAGCTCTGGAAAAGAGGCAGTGAAGAAAAAGGTGTTCAAGAGATTCATTTGCATCAGAGTAGAAATAACAAACCTCCACATTGGTGAGATGGCGATTCTTGAGGAACGCAGTGTTTGGTAGAATTTGTGACAATCTTCCAGAGCAAAAGTTTGATCCTGGGCAGAATAGGCAATTTCTAAATTTAAGGGCATAAAGAAAATTGGCGAATGGAGTTAACAATAGATGGATTTGCCAGAAGCATACGGTAACCATATTGAACAGTATAAGTGCTTGAAGTATTTCCAACCCATCTCAAACAATCCATAGGTTGTGAAGTGACTGGATACTGAGTAAATTCATAGACGATATTTGGAGGGTATAAATTTCTCAGAAGAGGCAAATTCCATCGACATAGGGGGCGCAGTATAAGGTTAGAAGCCTTTAAAGAAGAATATGAAAGAGCTGACTGCTGCTTCAAAAGCCACAAGAACCTGTTACTAGGGGAAATAGAAGTACTATCACCAACTTGTCAGGATAGGTGCTCCAAAATAATATCACTTGCTCTGACAATTTGTTTCCGTAAAGCAGAACTGTTGTATTTAACATGGAAATGAAAACCGCAGTCTGCATCTAGATACTTGGAAGACATGAGTCGAAGCAATCTCACTTGCTCATCCTACTGCTAGTGCCACGGAATCTCTACGTTGCACGAACATTAGATAGTTAGTGGCTATTTTCTTTCCTCAGTGATCTTCTTTGCATTTTCCTGAGAACTGCTATACATATTGCGGAATAAAATGCACTTCTCACTAAAAAAGGAAAAGAATTGATAAATTAATTAATATGCTAATCAAATTATGATACCCCTTTGTTCATGTAAAGTTAATTTTTCTCTCTATATATTTGTCTTAAATTTAATTTTAATTTTATACTTATATCTAGTTTTATTTCAAATTTTAACATATAATTATAATTTTTTTAATAATATTCTTAAAATGGTACTTATGACAGTAAAGTTTAAATAAAAGACAAGACTAAAAAATAATTATTATGCAGTAGGGATATTTTATCTGTATCTTTTTTATTATGCAATCTAAAATTTTGTAAAATTACACGCTTTTTTAATATGCTTAAGGCCAGGATAGTCTTTTGTACAAGCCAACTTCAATCTAGGCTTAGGCCAATTTATTACAAGACAGGCCTAATTGTTAAGGATAAAGTTTGGTCTAATTTGGCCTATTTCCACCTTTACTTGTACACTCGTTGATCTTAAATATGACTTTCCTAATGGGCCAAAAAAAATTGAAAAGATAATATTAGAATATTTTCTCATCAGCGTAAATACTGTTATCCGTATCATTAGTGTAGGATCGAATGTATATACTCAGTTCTTGATCACGAATAGAGACAAGAAATTTCCTACACAACCCTATAAAAATTCAAACAAAGGACAAGAAATTTTCCCATTAATATTATTCTTAATAACGATATAATAAGTTTAAGTATATTATAAGGATAAGATAATGTATTACTCCTTACTGTATTATAATTTATAAGGGTAACGATAATAGTATAACATATAATGAGGCAGGTTCTTAGCCTTGACTCGCAGACCCGGTAAAAGTAGAGGGGGGAAATTACTTGAGAAACGTGAAAGTCTTGGAATTAAATGACGAAACCGAATGTTTGATTTTTTTTTTTAAAAAAACTAATTCTTCTAACCATGAGAAGATTCAAATGTGACTTTTATCGCTAAGGTTGAAAAATAAATAATAAGAAAATTAAGCTTGATATTAATAATTTTATAAGTCTCTTAGATGACTGCTTGAGAGAAGTTAATTGTTCATCATTGAAAATGAATTAATATTTCAAAAAAATCTTAAATATAACTTCACCGAATTTGCCTGCCTAAATATGATTTTCCGTAGTTGATTTTTCCTGGCTAATTAAAGAGCACTGAAATAATCAAAAACATCATCAGATGAACAAGTCGCTATAGACAGGGTCATTGTTTTTATTTAATCACCCTGAAAGATTCACAGCATTGGCTTGTGGACTCGGTTTTGGTCTTAAAAAATTGATGACTTCACCTATTGGACCATGCAAAGCGAAGATGCAGAAATATAAGACATTTGTTAGTTTCAAAAACATGAAAATTGACGAACCGCGGGGGTGAAAGAACAACAACACACAAGTTTCTTGACTTCGTCGACTCAATATATAAACGGTACGCCTCTCCATGAAACCTCAAACAAAACAAATTTCTTAGCCAAATCAGATCAGATGTGGCTAGTATCATCAGTTTTCTTCCTCTTCATACCCCATGCCTTTTCCTTAAACTTCACCTTCACCAGTTTCCAGCCCAATGATCATAACAAGATAACGTGCGAATTATCAGCTTACATTGCAGAACCATCCATCTACTTAGTAAGAAACCAAAAGGGACAATCCTCGCAGGATAGTCAAGGTCGAGCCACATATAACCAGGCGATGCACTTGTGGGACAAAGCCAGTGGGAAACTCGCAAATTTCAACACCAATTTCACCTTCGTGATTGATTCACTGGGCAAAACTGTTTATGCAGATGGGCTGGCCATAGGTTCAAAGCTTCCTAATCCCCCAAAAGTTGGAGGAGGTGCTTTGGGTCTGATTGTTGGAGGTGA